TGGGCCCACCCTCTCCTGAAACAGCCTCAGAACCAAAGGAAGGGGACCTTTGCCAGAGATCAGCCTTACCTTAAGCAGGCAGCTGGTCTAGAAGTCTGCGGGGGTTGCGAATGGTCAAGCTGCTTGGTTAGGAAGTTAAAACCCTCTCTAGTTTCTTACTGGACTAGACGCTTCCTACATATGTCATTATTATAGGAGGAGCTCTGCCTGCCCCGCCATTCGAAGTCCCTCAGCCTTCTTTTAAGCTCAAGCTTTGGGGTCTGGAGCAAGACCCCTCGAACATTCTGCTTTGATGCTATGGTAATAATGGTGATAGTAAATAATAAGTTACTATGGGCTAAGTACTGTTCTGAGAACAATGATTCTCAAAGGGATCCAGGATCCTAGAGGATGCTCAGACTCTTCCAGGGAGTACATAAGCCAAACTATATTTATAATAATATTAAAATGTCCTTGCCTTTATTACTTTCATTCTCTCACGCGTGGATGGTGGAGTTTCCAGGAGATATTGGACATTGCAACAAGTCAAATGCAGAAGCGGATGTGAGAATCCAGCCACCTTCTGTGAAGCTGACATTAATAAGATGAAAAAAATGTAAAACAAAGCCTCTCTTTTCATGGAATTTTTTGTTTTGGAAAATATGGTTATTTTTCATTATAAATATTATCGTTAGTGGGGTTATTGTTGACTATAGTTTAAAAACTAATACATTGTTTAAAAAATTTTCAGTGTTAATTTCTAAACGGTAAATACTGGTAGTTATAACCCAAATAAATAGACATAGTTTGGGATTCTTAATAATTTTTTAAAGAATATAAAAGGGTGCTGAGAACAAAAAGTTTGGGAACTGCTAATGTAGGACAAGAGCCCAATCCGGCTCACTGCCTGAATTTATAAATAAAGTCTTATTGGAATACAGCCACATTCACTTATTTACACATTATCTATGGCTGCTTTCCTGGTACAATGGCAGGATTGAAGAGTTGTGACTGAGACGGTCTGGGCCCCAAAGCTGAAACTACTTACTTCCTGATCCTTTAAGAAAAAGTTTGCTGACACCTGATGTAGAATAATGCATTTAATCTTCATAAACAGCCTATTATAGTTTTCATTTTACACATGGGAAAACAGAGGCACAGAAAAGTGAAGTCGCTTTTCTAAGGTCACATAGCCAGTGAGGCTAGAGCTGAGTTAGGAGGTGCTCCAAGACAGGTGGTGGTGCCATGGCCCTCAGGGCCCAGTGACTGACCCTAAAGTTGGGGTGTGGTCGAGTGCCAGTCTGACCCTGCCTGGCCATTTCCTACTTGAACAAGAGCGTTCCTGACTGCCCCCCGCCCTGCTTCCAAAGACTCTCCGGCTGATGTCAGTTTTCTCAAAGCTTGCCAACCAATCAGTGTTCTTCCTTATCTCTGTAGTTGTGTAGGAATGACAAGACTGTATAAAACTGCCTGTTATGTTACAGTCGGGGCTCAGCCTTTGGATAAGAAACCTGTGAGCTGGTGCCGGCATCAATGAACGCTGCTTCCTGCTCATAGCCTCGGTGTCCCGTCTCTCTGTTCGAGACTCCTGCAACAGTAGATGTCTGTGCTTAGTCTCCTCCCGCCTGGTCTCTGATGCCCCTTCTCCTGGTAATAGCACCCAGATGTTCCCCAAGATCCATTCCCCTCTTCTTATCTGAGGACTATGTGGCATTCTCTGAAGGTCTTTCTAGAGAGAACCAGGAGCTGCCCTTCCAGGTCAAGGCCTTTCACTTCAACTGCAACAAGGGGTATAACTGGCCGTATGCTCACCTGAAATAGCCCAGGCCCCTCACCTCTGATCCTTACTTGACTACAGTTTTGTGGCTATCGACCATGTTCACAGAAGCATTTACAGAACAGGCAGGGAGGTGAGGCCCTGGGAGTGGGGGGGTCCTCTACCACCTTCATTCGCTTCTAGAAGCTGGAGTGGGGGTGTGTAACAGGTGTGTGGTAGGAAGGTGGACAGGTTCACTGGGTGGGGCTGAAGGTGGAGGAAGGACAGGCTGTCACTCCCTTCATAAGAACCTTGCCCCTCCCCCCGTACCTCTGATAGGCTGCCTTCACCTCAAGTGGGCTATGACTGTCCTCTGTCCCCCATGGGCTGCTCTAACCTTTGACCTCTGGGACTTCCCACAGGCTATGGATTACTTAGGGGCATCGCAGGAAAGTCTGAGCAACGTGATACAGCTTGGGGGGGGCCCCCTCCAAAGTGGCTTCTTGAGGCCAGGTGGGGTGGGGAGGAGGTGCCAGAGGCCTGGGACTTGGGCAGGGTTCACCTCCCACTGAGGGGAACTATCTGGGCACAGGGCCTCTGAGCTGGGTTTCCCCAGATACCTCCTGCAGGGTGTTTCTGATAGTTTTGCAAATGTTTGGGGCCTCACAGATGCCCCCTGGAGTGTCACTGGCCTAACCATCCAAGATGACTTTGGTCCAGGATGCTTTAAGATCCAGGATGGTTGCTTTTAGGTACGCCGTGACTTGTAAAAGCAGCAGCATGCTGACTGTGGGAGAAATGGGAGCCTGAGGTCAGAGGCATGGGGCATTGCCTTGCCCTCAGCCAGGAGACCCAGCAGGGACCTGGTTAACATCTCTGATCTTGGTTTTCCAGGGCCGGCTAACACAGCCAGGATCCCTGGAGCTCTGGCCACCAAACTCTGTGGGGGCGGAGCTTTCTTCCTTGTTGCTGGCTGGATCTGGAACAATACCTGGACATTGCAAAGAGGGTATGACTGGCTAGATCCAGCTTTCCCATTCTTCTTAGCTACTTTTAAAACATCCCCTTCCATGCCCCCCCCCCAAAAAAAAACGGAACCGGAAAACACTTTGAAGAGGGATAAAGACTACTCTAGTCCATAAGCCCTTTGAGTCAACTTTTTTATTTTTTTTTCTTTTGAATGTCATGCAATAATTCACAGTCCCAAGCCCACAGTTTTCAAACAAGGTAGGAAAAAGGCAAAAAGAAGCAAAGGAAATCGGTGGTGGTGGTTCTTTTTTCTTTTGTTGTTTCAAGCAGGACCAAATGTCAGAAAAAAATGCTTCTTTTCTCAATCATTAATTTTTTTGTCCTTTTTAAAATTGTTTATTTTTTTTAAATCGATTTCTGCAGGCAGTAATAGTAGGGTTTGGTATAACCAGCAAGCACTCCTGTGTGTCTGAGAACGTTGTGTGGGGGGTATGAGGGTGTCTGGTGGAGGTCTGTGTGGGACGCTGGGTTTCCGCTTCTCCGCCACACAGGGGCCACCAGCTCGCGTTCACCAGGGGAAGGAAAGATTCAATTGAGATGATAAAACTCATCAATAGAAGCGATTTTTTTTCTCCCCGTTTTTCTTTTAAAAATGTTTTTTTTTTTTTTTTTTTTAAATTTCCATTTTCCCCAAGGTTCTCCAAAAATGGCTGAGTTAATTCGAATCCCTTGGCTGTGTGGTTTGTCTGTCCCCGAGGACCCCCGTCGTGGGGGGTCGGGGCTGGGCGGGGTACGCCGAGGGTCTTTGTGGGACACCTTGGGGTGTCCCGGCCCTAGAGACTCCCTCCAGAGTCCGGGGGCGTCCGGCAGGTCCTCTCCCGGGCCTCCCCCGTGTGCTGGGCAGGTGGCAGCGAGGTGGCCCCGCGGCCGGGGCGCGGCTCCTCCCCGTGGGCGTG